TTGACAAACAGGCTGAGAAGGAAATCAGAGATACATTACCGTTTACAATAGCCACAAATGATCTAAAATACTTTGTGGTAACTCTAACTAAGCAAGTATAGGACTTATATGACAAGAACTTTAAGTCCCTGAAAAAAGAATTTGAAGATGTCAGAAAATGGAAAGATCTCCCATGCTCATGGATAGGCAGAATTAACATAGTAAAAATGCCTATCTTACCAAAAGCAATCTACAGATTCAATACAATCCCCATCAAAATACCAACACAATTCTTCACAGACCTGGAAAAAATAATACTCAACTTAATATGGAAAAACAAAAAACCCAGGATAGCCAAAAGAATCCTGTACAATAAAACAACCTCTGGAGGATCAAGAACAGAGAGGGAGAACAAGGAATGAGAGACCATGATAAATGAAGACCCCATGGGAGTAGGAAGAAGCAAAGTGCTAGAGAGGTCCCCAGAAATCCACAAAGTTACCTCCACAATAGACTACTGGCAATGGTCGAGAGAAAGCCCGAACTGACCTACTCTGCTGTTAGGATGGCCAAACACCCTAAAGGTCCTGCTAGAAATCTCATCCAGTGACTGATGGAAGCGGATGCAGAGATCCACGGCCAGGCCCCAGGTGGAGCCCCAGGAGTCCAATTGGCAAGAAAGAGGAGGGATTATAGGAGAGAGAATTGTGGAGACCATGACTGGAAAAAGCACAGGGACAAATAGCCAAACTAATGGAAACACATGAACTATGAACCAATAGCTGAGGAGCCACCAACTGTATCAGTCCCTCTGGATAAGTGAGACAGTTGATTAGCTTGATCTGTTTGGAAGGCCCCCAGGTAGTGGGACCAGGACCTGTCCTTAGTGCATGAGCTGGCTGTTTGGAACCTGGAGCCTATGTTGGGATGCTTTGCTCAGCCTGGGAGGAGGGGACTTGACCTGCCTGGAATGAATCTCCCATGCTGAGCTGAATCCACAGGGGAGTCTTTGCCCTGGAGGAGATGGGAATAGGGACTAGGCTCAGGGGAAGGCAAGGGGGGAGGGGTGAGAGGAGGGAGGACAGGGGAATCCGTGGCTGATATGTAAAATTAAATTAAATTATAAAATTTAAAAAAGAAGATTTAGGAGGCTAGGACTTTGGGAATGCATTGGAATAGCAAGAGAAATGCTGAATATAGTTAGTTTCTTGAAGGATTCAGTGCTGTATCCATTTGTTTATTTAAACTATATCAGGGCTAATGCCTCATAAGCAAGATTTTTAGGGTTAGGGTTACAATTAGGAATTTTTAGTGAAGATAGAACTTAAAATTGCGTGAAGTTAAAATTAATGGCCACTTAGCATGAAGACAGAGCAGGCTTAAAAATAAAATTAAATAATAAATATCTTCCTGCTTTTCTTGTGAGTGTACAGCATGTAATTAGCCTGAAAATATAATTTGGATGTTGTGGGACCGTGTTCACTATAGCCTTGTCTCAATGCTTAATTGCACAAAGGTTGTAGAATTAATAGAGTAGGGTTTCTGTGAAACTCAAAACTAGCTAAAAGGGGGAGAAGCTGCCTTGGAAGCCAAGACTTCAGCCATTGTAATGACTTCCATGCACCCAATAATAACTCTGTAGCATCCTTGCTGCTTGGCCATTCATCCCCTTCTTAGTTTGAGCTTCTGTATATGTTCTAGGAAGATTACCACAGCGTGAGAAAGATTGCTTCACAGCAGATTGCTGCTGCTTACCAAACCATATAGTGAGCTAGATGTTAGAAAAATGATTGATCGGCTGAACATTTAGAGAAGAAAGTAAATAGCAAGATAGCTGAGTTATTCTGAACCATACCATGAAATAAACCAATAACTATGAACACTAATGGTGAAAAGATCTAAAAAATTTATGTTTGGTTGGTGCCTGTTTGTTTTGGTTTGTGTTGAATACTGGCTTTGTTCACTTTATGTGTATATGCATTTTCTTTTTTGTTTTTTTTTTGGTTGGTGTTTTTTAAAACTATATTTTATCATAAATATCAGAAATTACCAAAAAGAAAATTAAGGAAAAAAGAGTTTTCTTATTCAAAATAAGCTCTTGTTCACTCTTTTATTTTATTATCAATATCTATGACAGCTCTTAATATTTAAGAACTATCCAATACACTAATGTTGAATAAATGAATGAATAAGTTAAGTTCGCTAGTGAAGAAGTAGGCACCCCACCATTGAAAGATGCAAGGAAAGTTTTGCTTGTCCACATCTTGATAAAGAGTATCATGGTTGGAGCAAAGTGTCTAGGATTTGAAATACTTTCATTTCAATTTATGATCTACATTTATGGATTTATTCAGCTTAAACAATTTACCTAAAACTTGAGTCCTTAATAACTTGTTCATCTAGAAATAATAAGTAGAACTTCATGAGGTTGTTCAGAAAAATTAGTAAGATATTGATTACAAGCTATTTATTCTATTCCCCGTCATATTATGAATATACATTCAGGATGTTAGATGTCTTTATGCATTGTGTACATGACTGCCCACATTGTATCATGTGCAGTCATGCTTTTCTTAATGAAGCTAAGTCCCATTTTCACAGTAACTCTCAAATGAACTTCATCCTTTGAGTTAGATGAAATTATCTCTAAACTCCCCTAGTTAATATCATCCTTCATCCATAATAACCTAGAATATACAAAAGTTCTTTTCTCTTATGAAGTGTAAAGTTTCTGAAGCTAAAATTTTATGGTCGTTTGGACTTTGGGCAAATAAAGGCTAGAATGAAGAACTCCTTCCTATTCTCCTCCACATTGTGTAGAATGTAACCTACCTGGTGACAGACTGAGAGCATGTTGGATTATCTGAATGTTTTATGGGTATAACGTGTAAAATATCAATAAAATGGTAGTGTGAGGACACTGTCAGTTAGATAAATGAAAGGAAACCTTTCCGTTCTTTCCTGTCATTAGCCTGTGTCTTCTCTTACTCATTTTGAATCTTACTCATCATGTCCTGATGTCCAGCACTGCAAGAGGCTGTTCAAAACATATCCTGTACCTTCTATACCATCTGTCTTAGCTCCCTTTAATTAAAATCACCCCTAATGTATATAGTGTTCAGGCTAGTCTCATGAGAACAAAGGAACACTTGAGAAAATATTAGGAAAGATGAATAACCCAGTTATTTGTTGCTGTATGTTTCTCTTTCTCTTTCTAACAATGTAAGAAAGCCTAGAAATTTCAGCAATAACTCTAAAATCTGACAAGTACCCATGAAAGAGAAAAAGTCTATTATGATACAGATTCCACAAACACCAAAAGTGAACAGAAAATAGCAATGATACATCTGAAGGAATCCTGAGACCTTGCAAGCAATTGTGATGATAGCTGCATGCTATCCCTTAAGAACCACACAAGGAGGAAGGGTGGCAGCTTAGCCTGAGGATCTCTGAAGAGTTTCAGACACTCTTTGACAAAGAGTATTGGAATACACTAAAGTTCTGGGATAAATTATTTTGTATGTATCACTTTTGAGTATTGTCCTTGAAGAAGAAATAGTTTTGGAACTCTTTACCTCTCATGAATTCACATGTCTTCCATTTGAGACAACAAACAAGTATTCCTCTGAGACAATATAAAACAAGAATAATGCTCAAATATATTACAGGACATGAAGGTCTGCTTGACATCAATGACATATACTCTGGTTTGAAGAGGACATCTGAAAGAGAATAGAAGGACTTGATGTTCAGAATTGGATATACATTTCCAATGAAAAGATTCACATTACAGGCTTAGTCCTCAGTTGGTAAATCCAATCACTGAGAAGGGTCTGGATCATGAGGGCTCTGACTTTAACAGTGGATTAATCCATTGATGGATTCATAATTTGATGGGATTTTTTGAAAATGGCAAAAATGTTAGTTAGTCAATGGGATTGAGTAGATAAAGTAGTTAAAAAGGGTACATGCTTTTGAAGGATATATCTTGCCCATGTCCCACTTCCAATTGTTCTTTCTTGGCAATCTTGAGAGTTGGTTATTATTTGAAACTGAGATAATCTAAGTACCTGAAAGAAGGATGATTAAATACTCAGGGAGTCCAGGGACCCTTGCCACAGTACCTAGAAGGAAGAGGGCCACTGAGGCAGCTATGAATAGGAAGGGGGGGCACATATGGAAACACTGAGAAGTTTCAGCAGAAGGGAATTCTGACTGAGCATCATGATGGTCAGAGCTCCATTCATGGTGGTCAAGAGTAGGACCTGAGGATTGCAATAAGCTGATACTGATTTCTCAGTATCTGGACCTATCTTTCCTCCACATGTGGTTTATTGTTGGAAAGGAGGGAGAAAGAGAAATCCCTGAGAATCAGTGTGGTGGATTACTTGTTTTCTGCAGCCCCCTTTCTGCAAAGTGGGTTACTTGAGCAGGGCCTGAGAGTACCAGGGCCAGCACGCAGAGTGCTAGGATCACTCTGTTCTCCCTGTCTAGTTCAGATTCCAGTGCTCTGTTTATGTCTACCAATTCCCAAATATTTGAGTAACACTATTTGGCTTCGATGCACCATTTGTGGTTGAGCACTCCAAAATCACCTATTCCTTACATCTTGACCAATTGTGAGTTCCTGTGTTAACTAATATCCAAAGCACAAAAACTTCCCTGAAATGATCTCAAAGCTTCACTAATCTCTGGTTAGAGAGATTCCAATTTAAAAGACATTTTGACACTATATTCATTTATCAAAATAATAGTTGTTTTAATCCTGGGGCCTATATGATTTACAAATACCAGGTATGTGTTTCTTCCTGTGGAGCAAGCTTTAAGTCCAATTAGAAAGTGGTTGATTTTCTCCATATCATTCATGCTACTAATATACCCATGGTATATCATGCTGTTCTGGTCTTTATTGCAGTTCACAGGATTAACATGTGGTTAAGACAGTCAATCACCTTTTTCTCCCAAATATCCTTATATTCTGGAGACATTTGTGTCTCTCAATCTGACGCTCAGACTATTGAAACAATGTGCCCCCAAAGAAATTATAATTTTCCCAGGAATCTCATACTGGGAGAAGGAAAAGGCTGTAGTACAAGGGGAAACTTGTCTCCCCTGAATAGATATTTCACACAGATCTAGCAACTTGTCAGAATCCCTTGTAGGATGAAACTGAAACCCAAACAATGATGGGTCAATTGTGGTGGTGCTATACCTTGACCAGGACTTCTTAGATTTTACTTGGGGCTTAGTTTAGCCAGAAGGGTCTGCTCTTACTTGCAGGGTTCTTATTAGCATGGAAAAAATTGCACAACTGGAAATTTTGTGCACAGTAGCTCATATTAAATTCCAAAAACTGTACATGGCACAATCTGCAAGCTATTCATTTTGCAGGGTGGAATTTACATGCCAGGAACTCTCACACAAAGAGACTCAACAAAACTGAATGAACATATCCTTAGCTATCTCCTTAAGCCTTAATCTCACTTAGGGTTCCTGAAGATGGACTTGGGAAATCACTGGATCTCTTTGGCCCTCTTCCCAAAGTAGCCCCATTGAATAAATCTATCTTTTCTATTTTCCCTATTAACATAGCTATTTTAAGTGTTTCCTTGGCACAGACTTTGGAAACAATTTTATTATCAGGTTCTCTCCTTCCACGATATGGGTCCTAAGAACTGAACAAATGTCCAAAAGTTTTCTAACTGCTTATCCATCTTGCCTTCCTTTGTTAACAAGGTAAAATATCTTCTTTCATCTATTTCTGTCCTACTATGGGACTAAAAACTTCCAAATCTTGTTTTTCCTCTGAGTCTAGTTTCATTAACTAAAAGCCCTCAACTATATATACAGTACAAAGTACAGAATTAAATGTGGCTGTTAAGCATATATTTCCTCCTTCAATAGCACTCTTACATGCATAATTGAGTTTTATAATCCTGCATCTTTATTTACATGTTGTATTAGAAACTTTTATCACTGCAACAAAATATTTTTCAAAAGGTTTAAAGGAGGAATGCCTTATTTAGGCTCATGATTTCAGATGGTTTCTTCCAATGTTGCCTTGGTCCTTGGTTTCTGGGCCACTGATAAGGCAAACACCATGGAGGCTAACACAGGAAGAGTAGAACTGCTAGCTCAGAGTCCATGTACACTGCTCTGAGTCACAGAGAGCAGAAAAAATGATTTTTTTCACCAGTACTGTCTTGTCATGCAATAGGAATCACTGTTACATCAAATGCCCTGCAATTGGACACATGAGAACTACAGGCATATTATATGGCAAGGATCATAAGGCTGCCAGGCTTGATTGTGGTTGAAGATTGTGGTTGAAGACTCTGGGATAGGACTGAAGGCTGTTTCCTGCTTCTGTCTGTATAATTTTCTTGTTCCTATGTCTTTCAGCCCCCCTGCCATCTCTTCAATGCTTCCTGGTGCTTTATTTTTATATTTATAATACGTCCTTTCCCTTGTTGTCTTGACTCCTATTATCTACAAAGGCACATATAGAAGGATTCTAATCTTCCTTTCACCTCAGAAGTTATATATGTTATTTTCCAGATGAGACAAAATGATAATTTTAAAGGAGAAACAATATTCAAGGTCCCAAACTAGAAATAGAAATCTAGAAATTTATGTGGAAGTCACAGCTTTTGAATCCTTAACATGCAACACAGAATGAGAGATCAATAGCTTCTTTAAGATTTACTTTCTATATATGTGTGAGAGTGGATGTCTGTGAGTGTGCATGTGCACATGCCTGCAGGAGAATGTGGTGTCCAGAAGACGGCACTGGATCCCCTTGAGCTAGAGTTACAGATGGTTGTGAGCCATCCAGTATGGGTGCTAGGAACCAAACAGGCCCTCATAGGGAACAAGTTCTCTTAACCTCTGAGACTTCTCTCCAGCCCCAGTATCTTTCTTTAAAACATTGTTCATAGCATCCAGGATTTTTCTGATTTCCAGCAACTCAAATAGAACAGCTCTACAGCACTTTGTAACTTGTAATATAACTTCACATTTATTATTTCACTTAATTCTCTCTTCAAATTGAATCCTTGATTAAAACAATTCATCTTTGATAGAACCAAGGCATAAGAACATACCTGGTAGGACAATGCTTCTTTTTTTCTCTTGATTAGTAGTTACATTGTAAATGGAACAAGTAACAGGACCATGTGTTCCGTTCTTCAGAAGAATGCTGCTCTTCAAGTACAATAACCCATCCTGAGAGTCAAGTTTTGATGAATGTGGAATTATATTCCCCTTGCTGTCTCTCCATGTCATCTCAGCAGGTGGAATCAACCTCCCTGAAGTACACTGCACCAGTACCCCTTCTGCATCTGGAACCTGAATGTTAATCTGTATATCCAAGCTCATAGCTAGGAAGAGGAGAAAGATGATGTTATGATTGGTAGTGTGGATTCAAGAGATGAAAATTTTGTGGAAGTGCTCATTCTCAAATAGATGCTACTGAAAACATATCCAAAAGAACAAACAAACTCCTGTCATCATAAATGATTAATGGTGAATAATTTTGGTTGTTATAGAGATTGGTATAAATGAAATAATACAGTAACATTTGTGATTAATGGCAATGGAAGTTAGAACAATGGTCACTTTGGCAAGAAGAGCATGGTATTGATTAGGAAAGGTTAAGACAATATTTTGGGATGCTACAAATGCTCAGAATCTGGAGCTGAAGAATGGATTCATGAATGTCCCTATAAGCCAAACTTCACTGAGTTGTACACTTAATGTAGTTTACTGCATGTACATATATCTCAATACAAAAAGATAAACAATAAATCCAAGACAAAACCAAATTCAACTAGGTACTCCCATCTCGACACTAGCTACTTTGGCATTTACATCACCATATTTTGAGTATAGACACTGAATCAAGTTCTTTAGAAAGTTAGACCTCTATGCAAATAGCAAATAAACAGTTTTTAAAACAGATCTTAAAATTAATATATTAATACATTTAGAGTTCTTGCTGTCAAAACTCTAAGTGATGTGGCAAGGAAAAATTATGTGAAAACTGAAACAACTTCCCTGCTGAAGACAAACTCAAAAAGTTGATAAACTAAAAACCTATTTCCCATAATTAATTAAAAGCCCTACAAAATAAGAATCCACTGGAGATTCAAAACAGGGAAACAGCTAGGCGCAGAGAGATGCTCAATGTATCTGCTTCTGTAACACTTACTGGGGGAAGGAATTAAATAATCTAAGGTGATGATTGATGATCAGAATTCTCAACCCAAGAAGGTAAAGATGATGTTGGGTCAATCCATCTCATATCCAGGTGAATACAAGAAGAGAGAAAAGAAACAGTGAGCATTTTGGAGGCGTGTAGGAGCTAGGGAAGCTCTTCATGAACTGAGTTTATCACCTGCCCATTTAGAACCCTCACTACAGAAGGGAATGCTATGGATTGTGCTCCTGTAAGGGCCACACCAAAGTAGAAGGATCTATTCTATGTACACACAGAGGTGTCGGTACTCTCTAAAAAGCTCAATCATTCAAGATAGTGTAACTCATTTACAAGGGATGATGCAGAATTGCATGTGACTTGATAGATCAATACTGAAATTTTCATACACATATTTATACATATGTGAAGTTTTATATGTAATAACTTCAATTGGTAACATCGAATTTGTATATAATATCTTGAAATAATAATAAATCTTCCATTATTATTTCAATGGTGTACGTTTCTTTAACATATCTTTCATTATTCTTTAATGGTGCAGTATAATAGTTCAGTAGATCTATATAGTAAAACACAAGTAAAGTGGTTTTAAGTGAACACAAGATGAAATTCTCCAAAACTGTAAAAAGAATAGCAAAACATTCATACAAAATTACTTAAACTCATATTTTTAAAGTAATTTGTAAAACTTGTACATAGTTCATTTGAAATTATCAAAAAGAATACATGGATGTGTAAGTATTTTCATGTATACATGCCTGCATGCATTTCTATACATACACACATATATGTGCATGTTTGTTTTATACTTGGTGTATAAATATGTGTATATTCCTATGCATGTAATCTCAGGCATTAATATATAAGAAGAAAATTATATTAGCTTCACTTGGGAGATTAATTCATGATTTCATAGCTGTGTGAAGGATGACATTTCACAATAGATCCATAGATTTTTTTTTCAGGTGAAGCTACCACTCCCTCATCTAGCAAATATCCCTCTTCAGAAATGGAGACCATCCCACAAACTGTGACTAGGCAACTGGGCACAATACAGAAATCAAAAGATTGTGGGAAGCCCAACCCACAAGCTACATCTACATTATAGTTTCTACTTTTACAGCTCAGAGAACATAGCACAAGAAGGGATGGAAATTTTGTAAGAGCCAGAATGCCATGTCTGCACTGAGACAGTCAGCCTCTCCTAGAAATGGCTAATAAACAATACCAGAACAATGACATTATCAACTGGTATATTAATGTTGAAGGAGGAAATTAGGGTTCAACCCTAGACAAAGAACTATAAGCAACTAATGACTGGTTCTCCAATGCAGAGTGATCAGCCCTGAGACTATATACACACAAACAGCACAAAAATACTCAACAAGTTATATATATATATATATATATATATATATATATATATATATATATATATATATAATACATGCATGACAGGAATAATTAAATAAAATATGCTGTCAACTTGAGATTGGTGGAATGACATAAGAGGAATTGCAGGCAGGATACCTGGGAGTGTCTGGATGGAAGAAGGTGATGTAATTCTATTTCAATTAAAAATATATTTGCAATAATAATTTACTCATTTTTGAAATTATAGTTACATAATTTCCTGTCTTTCCTCCCTTCACTGAACCCTTCTCATGTACCCCCTTGCTCTCTCAATTAAATCCATGGCCTCTTTTTCTTGAATTATTGTTACAAATATACTCTTTTATGTTGTTTGGTTTGGTTTGGTTGTTTTATTTTTGAGACAGGGTCGCATTACATTGTTCTGATGGCCTGGGACTCTTGATGCACATCAAGGAGACCTTTAACTCACAGAGATACACCTGTCCCTGACTCCCAAGCTTTAGGATTAAAGGCTGTCTCTTCTCTTTATTGACAGTTTCTTTGCTACAAACTATTTAATTTCGTGAAGTACCATTAGCCTATTCTTGGCCTTATTCCTATGCTATTGGATGGTGTGTGCAGAGACTCATGGGTGCTCAAGATAATTGGAATAAATGATAGTTAAAGGTCAGAGAACATTAGGAAAGAGGAAGCAGAGAAAATGTAAGAGCCAAGTGATAGGGGAAACTGCTATAAAATGCTATCTTAAAGTATAACACAGCCATTGAAAACATGATCTCACAGCAGCTTTAGTAGCCTGCAATGGACCTTCATAAGACTGAGATTGTCAGTGAATACCCCAACTGTCATTACATAGTTTTTCTCCAAAGACTGATGGAAGCCGATACAGTGATCCACAACCAAACACCAGGTAGAGCTCCAGAAGTCCAGTCAAAGAGAGAGAAGAGGGATTTTATAAGCAAGTGCATCTGGATCATGTTGGGAAACTTGCAGAGATGACCAAAGCCAACTAGTGGGAACTCATGAAAATTGGATCAATGGCTGTGGAGCCTGCATGGAACTGGACTAGGGCCTCTGCATAGCAAGATAGTTGTATAGCTTGATCTGCTTGGGGACCCCCTGGCAGTAGGATCAGAATCCATCCCTGCTTCATGAGTGGTCTTTTTGGAGCCTACTACCTATGATGGGACACCTCATGCAGCCTTGAGGCAAGGGGAAGGGCTTGGAATTGCCTCTCCTGGATATGCCTCCCCATGGGAGGCCCTTGCCTTCTTGTGGGGTGGGGGAGTACGGAGTAGGTTGGGAGGGGGAGGCTGGAGTGGTGAGAGGAGGGAAGAGGGGTATCTTTGATTGTTGTATAAAATGAATGAAAAAAATCTTAATTAAAAAAAAGACTGAGACTGTCATCATCATTCAGAAAATTATGATGCTAGAAGGACCAAGAGTAATGGTCCTACTCCTCCATGCTGAACTATTCACTACTGGTGGATTTTAAGGCAGATACATTCATTGTCTTCTGTTATGTGAACCCACCATATCACAATAAATAGTCCCAAACTTGTGGGCACACAAACAATCCTGATTAGAATCAGTGGGTTACAAAACAAAGCAAAAAGCATGATTCTGAGGAGGGGATGTGTCAGGAAAAGAGGACATGACAAGGGTGAAAGAGGAACAAGAGAGGTTTGGGGAAGAGTATGCAGAATGCCTTGTAAACATGTATGAATTTGTCAAAGAACAAATTTAGTCAATAAAATGGGGAAGATGTCTCTACCTTGGGTGAGTACGGTGATCTCTAAGAGAAGAAAGGCCATGAAGAATCCAGCTAAACACGAAGCTGCAGGCTCCATCACACCTGGAAAATGAAATTGTAATCATAGTATCAATTTTGGGGCAGTAAGAATCATGAAAACACAGAGAACCCCAACAAGAGACCATTCCTAAATTCTGTCTTGTGAGAAAATTCCCCTTGCAAGGAAGTCTTAATGACTGCTGCCAACCCCTGCGGCAGTCTCTTCTAGCATCTTATCTTGTTTTGCACTTGGCCATTTAAAAGCTGCTTTAAAGTTTCCTACATCCTTCACCAAAGAAAGTAGAGGACATATAAATAAAGACAGCCAGTGTAGAAAGAATATCATCTGATTACATAGGGTATCTGAGCATCAATCAGCTGTGCCCCTTTCATTAAAACAGTCACTATGAGATATGCTATGGACAGATGACAGTCAGTAGGGCTTTCTGTGAGAACTCTGGGGAACGGATGCACCCAGCAGCTTATTTTTCCACTCAGACATGTACATTCCATTTAAAGACAAAGCTGAAGGCAACACCCCGCCCTGTGTAGGACTGTTTGTTTAAGCTCATCTTTAACATTAGGGTTCCACCAATAATGTTCAAGTAAGTATGAGTTTTAGGTTGACTTGACTCTCCCTGAAAATAAAACATGAAGCAATATTGTCATTTATTGTATGATCTGGGCAATTTAAAATAGCTACAGTGAAGAAACCCCAAAGGTGCCATAATGATATGACATAGAAAAATGCTGTGGACTATGTTCTGAGTCTTTGAAAGTGGAAACTACGGGACCTTCCTTTTCTTGATAAAGGTTTTAAAACATGTCTTAAAAATATTATAAAAATCATTTGTATAAGAAAAAAATCTTTGAAATCTTAGTCTTTAATTCTGGAGAACTAAATATTTTATCTAGCACCATGAGAAAATAAAGGTATCAATGTCACATAAATACTGTAAAAGAAAGAGGAAATTAAATAAATATAGAGAATATGATAGTGTACATAGAAGGCAATAAGAAAACTGCTTAGCCGAGCGGTGGTGGCGCACGCCTTTAATCCTAGCACTCGGGAGGCAGAGGCAGGCGGATCTCTGTGAGTTCGAGGCCAGCCTGGGCTACCAAGTGAGTCCCAGGAAAGGCGCAAAGCTACACAGAGAAACCCTGTCTCGAAAAATAAAAAAAAGAAAAAGAAAAAAGAAAACTGCTTAATATTAATGAGTATAAATTAGTATTCTTCCACCTTCAATATAATTAAAAATGCATTAGATCTTTTCAGAGTTTAAAGATATTATGTTGGTATCATTGAGTGTGGTATATGGTAGTCACAGATAGTGTAATGTAACTAGAGTTTTCCTGCCTTGCCCACTGTCTGGACAAATCTCTATCACCTGCCAGTCCCACAGCCACTCAGACCCGACCAAGTAAACACAGAGACATATATTGCTTACAAACTGTATGGCCGTGGCAGGCTTCTTGCTGACTGTCCTTATATCTTAAATTAATCCATTTCCATAAATCTATACCTTGCCACGTGGTTTGTGGCTTACCGACGTCTTCACATGCCTCTTGTCATGGAGGTGGCTGGCAGTGACTCCTTCTACCTTCCTGTTCTTTCTTTCCTCCTCTCTGTTAGTCCCGCCTATACTTCCTGCCTAGCCACTGGCCAATCAGTGTTTTATTTATTGACCAATCAGAGCAATTTGACATACAGACCATCCCACAGCAGTGTAATACTAATGATTCAGTTTACAGATACAAATTATCTTTGTATTAAATTATATATTCAATAAAATTCTTACATAATGCTATCAAAATATTTTAACCTTCATTTTTATTTTATATGTATGAGTGTTTTGCTTGTATGTGTGTCTGTGTACCTCATGATTACAGTGCCTTTTTGGGCCAGAAGAGGGGGTTAGATCCACTGGGACTGTAGCTACAGACAGTTGTGATCCACCATGTGTACTGGGAACTGAACATGGGTCCTCTGGAAGAACAGCAAGTGCTCTTCAGCACTGCGCTATCTCTACAGTCCCATGCTGTCAGAATATTAAGAGCAACAGAGCAGCTTAATCTCAGAATTATTTGAAAGAAAAGGAAGTAAAACTTAACACATATAACACAGATGAAATTTCGGTGTTCTCTTTCAGAAAGGAAGGTGATGTGTCAGAGGGAGGCTGTGGAGTTCAACCAAATAATTACTTTAAAACACTTTAAGTTACAGCATTAAAAGGTGACAATGGTACTGAGTTTTAGTGGGACAATGCCACATATCTCCTTATAGCCTATCATGAAGCTTCTCTTGAACCAAGTAATACTTGAAAACCTGCATAAATAATTCAGAATGTTTTTAAACACATTACATAGATATATAGTACATAGAACATATACATATATGTCAGGAGTTTTACATTTTAATATTTTTAAGTTATAAACAAGAAAAGGTTCAGGATATAATAATTTCAAGACAGGAGATTTGGGGGTTTTGAGCATATCTAGAAATGATAAAAACAAAGAGAATTAAAACAATAAGAAGGGGAGAGACATTGCTCAAAGATAACTGTGGAACTATGCCTGCCTCTAATTCCCCACCTACTGAAGAGGAAAAAAAAAAACAGAATCTAATCAGAAAGTTACACCATATTAAATATTTAAATAAATTACAAATGATAAAAATCAAAACTCAACAAGCAAGCCTTCAACTGATCTCTAATTTTTATACTGTGGAAGACTTTGGAACTCCTTACAACCTTATCTAGCTGTCTACTAATTAAATGCCTATGTGGAAAAATGAGAAACAAACACAGAGATGAAGTGAGTTTGGTCACTTTGGGCTAGACTATGCTGTGCCTTATTAGAGAATCTTCTGATGACTTTAGTGGTGATGTATGTGATGCTCTTGTTAATGTCAGAGGTAATGGTGATAAAAAACCACTATGGAGTCCTGAGTGTGAAAACAGAGAAGCAGTCACACACATACAAAGGGTATCCAAGGAAAGGTTAGGATTTTCTCCAAAGATAACCATTAGATATTAATCCCAAGAAGACACTATAAAGAGTAGCTCCATCACTAAAAATAGGTTTGCTGTTCGAGAAGACACCTTCTAAAGTAGTCTCACAGGAGACTGGTCAAGCAGTTGAGGTCAGGAGCTGAAGCAAAGCCTCATCAAAGCAGAGTGACTGCACTGAAATTTGATTCCATGTAAATGTTTATAACATATGAGAAGACTTATTCAGTTTTGTCTTGTATTTCTGTGTTCACTTTTTTCTAGAGTGTCCACTATCCCAATCAAAGAATTACAGTGTATATCATCTCCAAAATCCACAAATGTGTTCCTGGGTCACTCTGTAGAAACTGATTAGAATTAACATTACAGACACATTTGCCTTTCCACAACACTCAAAAAGAATGTGTATTTCTAGAACCTTATGTAACTAGAGTTTTCCTGCCTTGCCCACAGTCAGGACAAATCTTTGTCACCCGCCAGTCCCACAGCTGCTGTGGCAGGCTTCTTGCTAACTGTTCTTATAGCTTAAATTAATCCATTTCCATAAATCTATACCTTGCCACATGGCTCGTGGCTTACCGGCATCTTCACATGCTGCTTGTCCTGGTGGCAGATGGCAGTGAATCCTTCCGCCTTCCTGTTCTTTCTTTTCTCCTCTCTGTTAGTCCCATCTATATTTCCTGCCTAGCCACTGGCCAATCAGTGTTTTATTTATTGACCAATCAGAGCAATTTGACATACAGATCATTCCACAGCAACCTTAGCAGGAAAAAGATAGGTTTCTGTTGCACTCCATGAAGGAGTATTCTGCTGATATAAGAGCCTCAACACAGTTTTCTAGGAATCTTCGCTTTCTTTTCACATTTTTTTTTCTGTACTCTAGCTGATGGCTTGTGATTTTAATTTGTTTCCCTCCTTGATAACATTTAGTGATTCTGATTTCAGTTTTTCATTTGTTTTGCTTTTCTTTCTTCCTCATGGAACATTGGTGAAGGATCCAGAAACATGAAAGGTGGCATAAAAATTGAATTTGTAAAAAAAAAAAATACAAGAGAATGAACAAATTTAAAATTGCTGACATTTATTTAGCTGACTCTATATTTCAAGCCAGAAGTATGAACCAGATCATGGAACATACCTGAAATACGCACAGAGAGGGAAGATGAGAGCAGAGGAAGGGGAGGGTGTTGAGCTGTAAGCTGAATAGGGTGGCTCACACATGCAATCCTAGAATGGAAGATTGAGGAAGGAGAATTACTATGAGTATGAGCTCGTCCTGGGCTACATAGTGAATTCCAAAGCAGCAGGAGCTATGTAGTGAATGCCTGTCTCAAACAATAACACCAAAATAATTCAATTTCTTCAAAGAATAAAAATGAAGTCATTTAATACCTGACCAGCATGATTAGATACCAGTATATTGAGAGTTTATAAAAAGTACCCCATTCCCTTTTAATTTCCTCTCTTGTTCTAGCATTATACAATTGGAGCTGTTTATCTAGTAGAAAAGGCAGTCTTCAGTAAACACTGGTTTCAAGGAAGTAGTTACAATGACCTTCTGGGGCTGGAGAGAACCCAGTGGTTAAGAGCATTTGCTGCTCTTCCAGAAGATGGAGTTTACTTCCTATAATCCATATCTAGTGCTCATAACCACCTGCTCACAACTCCAGCTCAGGGAACCCAACTTCCTCTTCTGGCTTATGAAAGTATTGGCATTAGCGTAGCATACACAAACACAGACATATGCACATAAATAATTCAATAATTTTTTTATTATTTAAAAATTGCTTCCTGCTCACCATGAAATTCATTTCTGCAAAGAATATGGCTTTATTCTTCTTTGTGGCTGAGAAATCCTCTTCTCTATACACAGTACATTTTCTTTATCAAGTCCTGTGCTGTTGTATATTCCTGGCTGTTTCCATAATTTAGGTATTGTGAATAGTGTTGCAATCAATGTTAATATATAGTCACCTTTGTGTTATGTTGAGGCTGAGTCCTACCAGTAAATTCCTATGAGTGTATAACTAGGTCATATGATAGAGCTACT